ATGTCATCATCGACACTGTATCTTGCTCCTAGGATTACATAAAAGATTCCTAAATTGTAGTTCTACACCAGTTGTAAATCCAATATACATGTACCTATGCACTTCATAGGTTCTTCTGTAATCCTTACCATCACTCTCTAGGGTAGGATACTGCTGTCCCCAAATTATTAGAAACAGTTCAAATTATAATTCATTGATTAAAGAACACAAACAAATTCTCTGGATTAGATTTGGCTATATAGAAAACAACTGCTTTGTAAAAGAGCTGATTACATGTAAAGTTTACAAAACATTCAGAAACTTTCTAACACATCTCCTACAAATAAACAATTATCATGAAAATAATTTTAGTTGGCACGGAACATCTTACCAAATCTCATTATTGAATATTGACAATCATGTCACATTCAGGTTGACGAATTCAGTAAGTTTTACTCCTTAATATGGTAAAATTCAAAATGAGAAAAATTACATAACTCAAAAGAACAAATCGTCTTTATTTGTAGCACTAAAAACTAACAACCCAACAATTCTTCTAAGCAATCAATCCTCTTCTAAAACAAAATACTTTCACCAGATCTATTACCACATCTAAATGCATACAACCCTTTAAAAACTCTGTAAAGTTAAAGCTGTGTCGTGGTTTTTTTTTTTTTTACATGTAATGAGTTTTAAAAGGTGCAATGTCTTGCATAACATGCTGCCTGTCTGCAGTACAACTCCTGTGCAGACTAACAGGATTTACACACGCCCTTAAGTCAGTAACCTTGACATTAGTATGACACTGTTCTGCAGTAGGCTATGGGCTATTTAGCCAGTGCAATGGAAGGTCATGTCAACTTGGTGGCTCAATTCTGGAAGATTGGTTAGTTTTTTTCCATCCCACATTTCAGCAAATCACTGAGAAAACAAACTGCATCCTGAAGTTCAGGTGAGGAAGTCATGTCATTATAGTTACTCCTAAATGAATACCACATATTTTTCACAAAAATGGACCACATAGAAGCAGAAGTACAGTGTTTCTTGACACCACAATTATCTTGGTTACTTTCCTCCGAAACAACTTTCATGTTTTCTTCCTCCGCTTAGATTTGGTGTGGAAATAATATTCCCTAATGTTCTCACCTTGGTTAAATAAAAGCATCACCATCTGACTGAATGGTCAAATCCCTTTTCTCCAACATAAAGAGTGTCCATTGTTACCTTTGGGTAACTATGTATTTACAGAGGTTAAACACTAATGATGGTTTGCTTTAACCAGGATCTCTACAGTCTCCTTAATCTCCAATTGAAGACAATCATTAGGTAGGTGTGCTGCTCTGCCATCAAGAGTGAAAATGTAGAGGAAATCCCCAAAGAAAAAGAAAGAGGTGGATGCTTCCAATCTCTTAACCTTCAGGAAACATTGCACATGCAGTAAGTTTACACTCATAACTAAGCCCAGAGATTTTCAATTCACACTCAAAAAAGGTAGATGAGAATTAAGCTCAACCAATGCTTGTAATGAAAAGCAATTGCATAGTCATTATAAAGTTGAATATGTAATATTCTACAATATTCTACTTAGGCTGAGAAGAAAATACAAATGTTTCTGAGAGTAACATTAGCCAAATACACAGCAATCCAAGCAGCAGGAGCTTTAATAAGCAATACTGGAGAAAAATCCCAAAGCATTCAAATTATTTCAGTTTTTCTTTTTCCTTTTTTATTTTGCTATTCTCAAATGTTTTCCTTCCTTTAAAAATACATTCTAAAGTTTTACTTACAGTCAATACTGCTGCTCATTATTAGGCTTTCACTTTAGTGATGGAGTACAAACCAGTGATCCTCCAAATGTTGATGAACTGCCCCCTTCCCATTATCCCTCACTATTAACTAAGTAAGCTGGGACTAATGGGAACCAGAATCTAAATCCATTATTCCAGGTCAGAGGACCATGTGCTCCTGAAAATTGAAATACACTTGCAAACTATGATGTTCTGAAATGAGCTCAAATTATAGCACAAAGATGAGCAACTTAAAAGCACACTTATGAAGCACATATTACTCACCAAGAGATTTGGCAACACTGCACTTTATAATTTGCTGAAGGCAAAATATTCACGTAGCTGGAAAGCACTCAAATCTTTGCACCTTGTCATAGCTAACTTCCCAACCTAACTGAGATTTTCAGCCCTAAAACCAGCACCAAATAGCTTCCTGCCTCTGTGTAATTAGCATTAATCCCAAGCTCTTCAAGGCCCCTGGTGTGGCAATGATTTGGTCTTAACCTCTGCCAAGGTCTCTCCTCTTCTAAGTTCTAGAAAGCAAACTGCTGAAAAAAATGTTAAGGTGTGACTTGAAGTACTTTAAAAAATGTAAGTCTACATTGACAGAGATGGGCCAAGACCTGCCTTTTCTGAATACAAGTTATTGCTGCATTGATGATTTATACAGAATGATTTGTACTCCACATTCCTTTCTCTTAATATCTAATTAAGCAATATTCTTGGGCTGAACAACTAACATATTTAACAGCATCACTTCCAAAACGGTTTTCAGTATTTGCTCTCCTGGTGTTGTTATCTCTGTGCTTCTCGTTCTGACCAAGTTATCTTTGACTGTGACCAAGTTTTCTGCTATTACCATATATACAAATCTTTACTGCTGTAGGGGGATATCTGATTATTTTTGTGGTCTTAAAATACACACACTGCCATGGTATTCCTAAGGAACAAGAGAAAATTTAAAATACCTTCATGTAGAAATGAAATAAAGCAAGCCAGGAATTACTAACCATTTGGCATCCCTTGGTATCCAGCAACACAAAATCCCAAACCAGCTGCTGTGATGCTCCATGACTGCCCATCAGGAAACGTCCCTTAATGACATCTGATCTAGCATTCCTGCAGCTCAGTAAACCCTTCCCTCACCGGTCACACTTTGTGCTTCCCTCACTCCACACTTTTTGGGACTTCCTCCTCCTTGGTGGGGGGGGGGGCTGTGCCAGGGCTCGGGTTCCCATGGAAACGGCATCTCACTACACCTTCCTATTCAAGCCAGATTTGCTGCCCTCCTCCCAGCCCCCAAGTAATCCAGGGCATCCTCTGCCTGCATTTCTTGATAATCCCTGGTTCATAAACAACCGAACAGTAGAATGTATTACAGGAACACGTTCCAAAACATCCTGGCAAAAAGCCACATCCTTGACTTCAGACTGTGTTTTCCTGTGGTAATAATCAGCCCTTATTCCACACATCAAACAGCTTAACTTGGGCTGAATTCACTGCTCCCTACTTTCATGTGCAGCAGACAACTCTGCAGATGCACAGGAAATTGGGCAGGATTTCTTCTCCCTCTCATGATTTGAGGCCTATACCATTGAAAAAGGGGTGAAAATGGAAGGGACCAGAAGTGTCCCATATTTTGGATTTTGGAATACTTTGTGTATACAGTTGGCCTTCTGTATCCACAGACTACCCGTGGCTTGAAAGTATTTTTTTTAAAATTCCAAACGGGGAACCATGAGTTTGCCATTTTATCAAAAGAACACCATTATAATCCTCCAATGTATATACTGGAACATGTGCATCCATGGAGTTTGGTCCTGGATCCAAACTCCAGCAGATATTCATTGCAGATCAAGAGATACCTTGGAGACTATGTGTACGCCAATCTGTAAGCTATCTTGAGTCCCCTTCAAGGTCAAGAAGGGTGGAATATAAATATAGTAAATAAAGAAATAAATAAATGTACGCTGTAAATAAAATACCAGTGAATTTCTAAAGATAAAATTCACTGATTTTCATTCACTTTTTGTACATATTGCCTGTAGGTAACTGCATACATAATATTTTAATGATTTTTTGAACATGTAACAAAGTTTCCCCAAGCAAAGCTGTTGCAGCCACAGAAATTGGGACTATTTGGGGATTCATCTCCACTGTTGAATTAGTACAGTTCTGCCCCACATGAACAGCCATGGCTCAATGCTAGAGGATCCTCAGAGCCATGGTTTCACAAGATCTTTAACCTTCTCTGGCAAATACAGAGAGGTGCTACATCTACAGCAGGCGTGGGCAAACTTGGGCCCTCCAGGTGTTTTGGACTTCAATGCCCACAATTCATAACAGCCTACAGGCTGTTAAGAACTGTGGGAGCTGAAGTCCCAAAACACCCGGAGGGCCAAGGTTTGCCCACGCCTGATCTACACTATGGAACAGTAGTTCTCAACTTCTGGTCCTCCGGGTGTTTTGGACTTCAACTCCCAGAAATCCCAGCCACCTAACCATCTGTTAGGAATTGTGGGAGCTGAAGTCCAAAACACCCAGAGGGCCAAGGTTTGCCCACACGTGATCTACACTATGGAACAGTTCTCAACTTCTGGTCCTTCGGGTGTTTTGGGCTCCAACTCCCAGACATCGCAGTTATGTAACTAGCTGTAAGGAACTGTGAGAGCTGAAGTCCAAAACACCTGGAGGGCCAAAGTTTGTCCATGCTTGATCTACACTATAGAACAGTGGTTCTCAACCTTTGGTCCTCCAGGTGTTTTGGACTTGAACTCCCGGAAATCCCAGCCACCTTACCATCTGCGAGGAATTGTGGGAGCTGAAGTCCAAAACAGCTGGAGGACCAAAGGTTGAGACCCACTGTTGTAGAAGGAATGCAGCTGGAGGCCAGTTTGCCTGTCATGAGATACTGGGAGTTGTAGTTTGGTGAAGCACGAGCTCTCTTAAGCAGAGAAGGCGAAAGACCTTGCAGAACGACAAGACCCATTATTCCCCAGCCTTGGGCCACAGCAGTCTGGAACTGAGTTAATTCCACAGTTAAGACGCTGCCTTGGCGTGTCCTGAGTAAGCGATGCTCAGCCTGCACTCCTGAGGAGCAACCTGCAACTTCCAAGCCTCTGTGAGGAGGAAAGGAGGCGGCTGTAAAGCAGAGGCTGCGTGGCCACCTGCGGGAGTGCCTGGACGGTGCCTGGCCCAGCCCTGGGAGCCCGGGAAGGCAGGCGACTCACTCACCCCATGAGCCAGTCCATGGCGACGGTGGGCCGGGGAAGCGAGCGAGCAGGCGGCTCTGGCTGGAGGGTGCCCGCCGCCGCCTGCTGCCCGCCCGCCCTCCCGCCGGCCTCAGCGCCTCTCTCCCCGCCGGCCCCGGCCTCTGAGGCGGACCATGGGTGCCTCTCCCAGTCCGGACCTTCTCCTTCGCGCTTCTCCTCCTCTCCTCTCCTCTTCCTCCTCCTCCTCCTCCTCTTCGGCAACCTTCGCTTTCGGTTCAGCAGCGGCTCGGCTGCTCCTTCTCCTCCTTCTTCCTCTCCTTCCTCCTCCTCCTTCTCCGAAGAGGTTCCCGCCCTCAAGGCAGCGCCCGCCGGCTCCCCTCAGCCAACCAGCCGGAATGAGCGAGGCAGAGAGCGGCACTCACTCCCTCTCCCTCTTTCTGCGGATGGCCGGAAGTAAACACACCGCGTTTCCTACCACACTTTTTTTCCCCGCCCCGTCCCGCGCGCCCACGTGCAACCCGGAAGCGGCCGCCTCCCCTAGGAATCATGGGAAGTGTAGTCTATGGAGGGCGGGAACATGGCCTCTTAAAGGCGCAGGGTCCCAGGACTGCCACTAGGGAGAAAGGAATGGGAAGGAGGAGGGAAAAGGAAGCACGCTTCTCTACCCAATTCAGGAAACTGGAAGGCAGTGGGTGGAAATGAGAACCAGAAGAGGAACATGAAGGTGTATGTTACAGGTAGATGACTGTTCCCTTATCATATGTTGTTGTTGTTCATTCGTTCAGTCGTCTCCGACTCTTCGTGACCTCATGGACCAGCCCACGCCAGAGCTCCCTGTCGGCCGTCACCCCCCCCAGCTCCTTCAAGGTCAGTCCAGTCACTTCAAGGATGCCATCCATCCATCTTGCCCTTGGTCGGCCCCTCTTCCTTTTGCCTTCCACTTTCCCCAGCATAATTGTCTTCTCTAGGCTTTCCTGTCTCCTCATGATGTGGCCAAAGTACTTCAACTTTGTCTCTAGTATCCTTCCCTCCATTGAGCAGTCGGGCTTTATTTCCTGGAGGATGGACTGGTTGGATCTTCTCGCAGTCCAAGGCACTCTCAGAACTTTCCTCCAACACCACAGTTCAAAAGCATCGATCTTCCTTCGCTCAGCCTTCCCGAAGGTCCAGCTCTCACATCCGTAGGTTACTACAGGGAATACCATGGCTTTGACTAGGCGGATCTTTGTTCCAGTGTGATGTCTCTACTCTTTACTATTTTATCGAGACTGGACATTGCTCTCCTCCCAAGAAGTAAGCGTCTTCTGATTTCCTGGCCACAGTCTGCATCTGCAGTAATCTTTGCGTCTAGAAATACAAAGTCTGTCACTGCCTCCACGTTTTCTCCCTCCATTTCCCAGTTGTCAGTCATTCTTGTTGCCATAATCTTAGCTTTTTTGATGTTTAGCCGCAATCCAGCTTTTGCATTTTCTTCTTTCACCTTGATTAGAAGGCTCGTCAGCTCCTCCTTGCTTTCGGCCATCAAAGTGGTGTCATCTGCATATCTAAGGTTGTTAATGTTTCTTCCAGCAATTTTCACCTCAGTCTTGCATTCATCAAGCCCTGCACATTGCAAAATGTGTTCTGCATACAAGTTGAATAGGTTGGTGAGAGTATGCAGCCTTGCCATACGCCTTTCCCAATCTTGAACCAGTCTGTTGTTCCGTGGTCAGTTCTGACTGTTGCTACTTGGTCCTTGTACAGATTCCTCAGGAGAGAGACAAGGTGGCTTGGGATGCCCATCCCACCAAGAACTTTTCACAATTTATTATGATCCACACAGTCAAAGGCTTTAGAATAGTCAACGAAGCAGAAGTAGATGTTTTCTGAAACTCCCTGCCTTTCTCCATTATCCAGCGGATATTGGCAATCTGGTCGCTCGTTCCTCTGCCTTTTCTAAACCCAGCTTGAACATCTGGCAACTCTCGCTCCATGTATTGTTGGAGTCTTCCTTGCAGGATCTTGAGCATTACCTTACTGGCATGAGAAATAAGGGCCACTGTACGGAAGTTGAAGCAGTCTTTCGCATTTCCCTTTTTTGGTATAGGGATATAAGTTGATTTTTCCAGTCTGATGGCCATTCTTGTGTTTTCCATATTTTCTGGTATATGGCATGCATCACCTTGACAGCATCATCTTTCAAGATTTTAAACAGTTCAGCAGGGATCCCGTCGTCTCCTGCTGCCTTGTTGTTAGCAATGCTTCTTAAGGACCATTCAACCTCACTCCTCAGGATGTCTGGTTCTAATTCACTCACCACACCGTCAAAACTATCCTTGATATTATTATCCTTCCTATACAGATCTTCTGTATTAGTCTTGCCACCTTCTCTTGATCTCTTCAACTTCTGTTAGGTCCCTGCCATCTTTGTTTCTTATCATGCCAATTTTTGCCTGAAATTTACCTCCAATGTTTCTAATCTTCTGGAAGAGGTCTCTTGTCCTTCCTATTGTGTTGTCTTCTTCCACTTCCGTGCATTGCTTGTTTAAAAATAGTTCCTTATTTCTTCTGGCTAACCTTTGGAATTGCACATTTAATTGGGCATATCTCCTCCTATCACTGTTTTCTTTAGCTTTCCTTGTTTCTTGGGCTACTTCCAGTGTCTCAGCAGACAAACATTTTCCCTTCTTGGTTTTCTTTTTCTTTGGTACATACTTTGTTGCTGCTTCCTGAACAATGTTGCGGACTTCTGTCCATAGTTCTTCTGGGACTCTATTTACTAAATCTAGTCCTTTAAATCTACTCTTCACTTCCACTGCATATTCACTAGGAATGTTAGTGAGATCATATCTAACTGGTCTGTATGTTTTCCCTAATCTCTTTAGTTTTATTCTAAATTGAGCATTAAGAAGTTCGTGATCTGAACTACAGTCAGCCCAGGTCTTGTTTTCACCAACTGGATGGATATCCGCCACCTTTGGCTGCAAAGGATGTAGTCAATCTGATTTGGGTGTTGTCCATCTAGTGAAATCCATGTATAGAGCCGTCTTTTAGGTTGTTGGAAGAGAGTGTTTGTTATACACAGCGAGTTCCTTATCATAAAACCATAGAGTTGGAAGAGACCTCATGGACCATCCAACTCCCTGCCAGGAAGCAGGAAAATCAAATTCTAAGCACCCCCGACAGATGGCCATCCAGCCTCTGTTTAAAAGCCTCCAAAGAAGGAGCCTCCACCACACTCCGGGGCAGAGTCCCACTGCTGAACAGCTCTCAAAATCAGTAAGTTCTTCCTGATGTTCAGATGGAATCTCCTTTCTTGTAGTTTGAGGCCATTGTTTGAGGCCATTGTTCCATGTCCTAGTCTCCAGGGCAGCAGAAAGCAAGCTTGCTCCCTCCTTCCTATGACTTCCTCTGTCAGTGTCGCATACGTTGCTATAAGGGGGATGAGACAAATAGATAAAACCAATCCTTGATTCCACAAAAGCCAAATTTTCCAAAATCCAAATATCACAGGGACAGAAAGTGAGGTGAAATCTTCTTAACAGGGGCACAGACAACAAAACAAACACCACAGCAGTGTTAAACTTTCCCTATGCTATCCAAACAATCCCCCCCCTCTCTATATTTATGGAGATACATTGAAAAAATGTATCATCTACACTACAAAATTATAGCAGTTCTGCATCACTTTAACTGCCAAAGTTCCATCCTATGGAATCCTGGGATTTGTAGTTTGGTGAGGCACCAGAAACCTTTAGCAGAGAAGTCTCAAGATCTTGCAAAACTGCAATTCCCATAATTCCCTTGCATTGAGCCATGGCAGGGCAAGTGGTGCTGCACTGAATAAGCTCTACTACTATGGTGTTCTTGCTCCCTTGGAGTCACTGAATAGTGATATATATAAAGTCACTGTTAGCTTTGGTTATTGTTTATGTGATGTATATCAGTCAATCAACATGTTTATTGTACTAGCCAAAACCATGGCAGAAAGCTATAAATGTAGATAGCAGAATGTGCTATATAGAAATCCAGGGTGCCCACTTGAGAACTCATCCTTTAACAGAGTAGCTATGGGGATTATTTGATGACTAAGTGCATACATTTATATTGAAGGGAGAATGCTATAACACAGGTTGAACATGCCTTATCTGGAATCCCAAAATCCCAAACTGTCTCCGTTGGAGGCTGCGAGAATAACACTTTTGCTTTCTGGTTCCTCACTGTATATATGCACTTCGTTTTATGCACAAAACTATTAGAAATACTGTGTATAGAACTGCCTTTAGGGTATGTGTGCAAGGTGTAAATGCAATATACATGAAATTTGTTTCTGGACTGGGATGCTATCTCCACAGTATCTCATTATGTACCTACATGCAAATATGGGTACAGGCAGTCCCCAAGTTGTGAACAAGATAGGTTCTGTAGGTTTGTTCACAAGTTGAATTTGTTTGTGAGTCAAAACAGATGCATTTTTCAATGCATATATATATATATATATATATATATATATATATATACACACACACACACACACACACACACACACACACATACTAGCCATCTCCTGCCATGCGTTGCTGTGGCCCAGTCTGTGTGTATGTGTTTTGTGTTTGTATATATGTGCATATGTGTGTATATATTTGTGTATATATGTATATTTGTGTGTTTGTGTCTATATATGTGGTTCTGTGCATGCGTTGTAATGTAGTTTTCTTTTGGCTTTTTAAGTCTCTTCCATTGTGTTTTTCAGTATTTTTATGAGTGATGGTCACTTGTTGGCCTGAAAGGTGTATTGTGTCCAAATTTGGTGTCAGTTCATCCTATGGTTTTTGAGTTATGTTAATCCCACAAAGAAGCATTACATTTTTATTTATATAGAGATATATATATACACACACACATATACATACATACATGCATACATATAAATAGAGAGCGAGAGAGACATACGTACACACAAACACATACATACACACATAGTACACATATATAGGGATGGTTTGGATAACATAGGGAAGAGTCAGTAACTCTTAACCACACGGACAAAGGTGATGAATTGTGATTTTATTTTGACGACTTGGCCTTATGTAATTATATGACTGCTTTTAATGTATTTATGTATTACTGTATTATGGGATGTGATGTTTTAAACTATTGTTTATGAATCTTTGTTGTAAACTGGCCTGAGTCCCTCTCCGGAGGTCGAGAAGACCGGCATATAAAAGTTATTAATTAATAAAACACCCATGTGGTGTTTGTTTTGCAGTCTATGCAGAATATTTCACCTCACTTTCTGTTCCTGTGATAATTGGATTTTGGAAAATAAGAGTTCTGTGGAAACAATGATTGATGATAAAGCTTCAGTGGAGATACCTTTTCTCCATGATTACCCTTTCAGGACTGAATTTCTCTTTCTAGGGGTAGGTTTCTCTCACTTCCTGTTGTCTCACCCCTGTTCTTAACTTTGACTCACTTGTAAGTCAGGTGTTTGTAG